AACCAATTCCTGGGCTCAGGAAAACTATGCAAGAACAGAGATATTCGCTTTACTTTAAAAATTTCCAACCAAAGATAGTAGCAAGTAAGGCTCTAAGTCTTTCTTATTGCCTGAACACAGGTCAATACTCCTAAAAAACTGAAATACATTGATTTAAGTGCTTACAGGTTTTATATTTTAATGTCTGAGCTTGATGAAATTTGGAACTAGACAAGTTTTAATCCTTAACCTCCCAGTCAAAATTAGCTTCTGTTTTCCAGATTTCTGAGTTTGTTGTCTTTCAGTTCCATCTCAATCACTACAGTCTGGATCATCCATATATGGATATGAAATTCTCTTTGTAGCATATGCACACACAGCAGTAGGGAAGCACTTAAGGTATCCAGGCCAGCCGACCCTCAGCTCCCAAGGCTGCCATGTAAGAACATTCATTTGTCATTCAGCCTTCCCTGTGCTCAGAGTTTTCAAACTCACCCCCTTCGAGACATCTGTTTTCCTTGAAAGAAAATATGGAATTGCAGTGCTGCTAAAGCACTCTCCTTCAGCAAGGTTGCCCTAGAGTTCTCTGCTTCAAGACTTCAGTACAACAAAGGAGATTTTTTTTTGTCAGCAGCAGCAACAACAGTCAGCCAAATTCTGAAATATATATAAGAGCTGAACAAGAGGCTTATCTAAAACACAGACAGAACTCCCTCATTTTCTTCCCAAGGCTCTGACTGCCAGAAGAAAAAAACATGCAGTAGTTGTCCTGAAAATAAAGTAGAAGTGTGGCAGAAGTAAATTATCCCTACAAAAGAAAAAGCACCATATTCTCCCAATAAAACCACACCTACTAAATGTAAGAAGTTGTTATCCCCAGCCTTCCCTGCAGTATGTCACACACTAAAGGCTTTCTGCATAAAACTTTAACGAGAACATTGGAACAAAAGGCTGTTTGTCACACTAAAAGGTAACAGTGGGAAAGTGTCGGTCAGGGATGCATCAGCCACAGCAAGGCAGGAACACTGCTTAGCTGCTGGTTTGGTTAGATTTAACATAGACATCTGCATACCCTAGCAACATAACCCAACTAAAATTTAAGAGCTTTGTAACACATAATTGGAGAATCTCGGCTATATGAAAATGTAATATTTGCATTGGGGTTTGTTTTATTGTTTCATATTTTTAAAATGTTGTAGTAATTAATTATTAATTCACGTAGGAAATAAAAGTTTCCTGGATCCACATTAAGCAATTTATGATGTCAAGTTTGGAAAAGCAATGAAAATTGGTAGATTGTTGGAAGATTATAGTACTGGCTGCAAAGATTTCTCTGATTTACAAAATCACAGTGTAATCCCTAAAACCAGCTCCCAGAATAGGCAAGAAATGCTAGAAATACAAACACACTCTTACATAAAATCTAAAAAAACCCTCAGACATCAATAAACACCCCCCAAAAACACCAGAGCTACTTGACAGCACTTGACTGCAAAAAATGTTGCAGGTTTCTCTGAAATATATACCTAAATGACAACTAAAATATGCTATTTGTAGCACACATTGCACAGAACATGGCATATTACAAAACTGCTGTATTTGAAAGTGTTGTTCTATGGAGTGAGTCTAACTTTCTTTAAAAATTCAGAATGTATGAATAAAACACTGATTTCTCTGTGTCATGTAACAGCAGTTCATGTAGGGCTTCTAATATTTTTGTGCACTACAGCTCTTTTGAAAAAGCCACAATACTCAGTCCTCCTGCCAGTTTAGACACACACCATCTTCCTAACAACATTTGTTCTCTGATGTATGTTTTGTATATTTCTAGGCCCTTTAAATGTGATGTTATCTTTTGCAATAAAATGAGATATTTTTATTAGGTGTCAAGAGTCAATTAATAATAAACAGCATTTAGATTACAAGGGAAGTGAAGAGCTGTTCTTTGGAAAAAGAAAAATGAGTGGAAAACTAATAGGCATTTCATGGAATCATTCTGCAGCTTTTCCAGGTAGAACAAGGATTTCAGTTCGAATACTGAACAACATGCTGTAGCTTTTAGCTAGACCACAGGTCTGCTGGAATATATGGGATTCTCCAGCCACAGCAGCTCTGTAAATAGTTTGTCTGGTCATTATTTCCCCATAGAGAAAGCTCTAGAGTAGCTTTGTTTACCAGGGCACACTGTTTTCTTTTCAGCAAAGTCTTTCTTTGTACAATAGCATATATAAATATTGTCTAAAAGCTTTTATGTGTAGCATAGCTACACTCGTTTCATCATGCTAAGCTAATATTGTGCACAAAATTCAGGTTTGGAAGAAGGAAACATTTAAGATGTGTATGGTGAATTTATGACATTTCTGTTTACCTAACCAGGCCAAGACTGAAAAGAAGTCCTTCTGTGTTCTACATGCTTTCTGTGTTTGACTTCAATAATTCCTGTAGTAGGACTTCACTGCATCACAGTCACCTTTAAGTAAGAGTCTAAATCCATAAAGTATTCAAGATAAACCTTGAATAGCCAGTTTCAGACTATAAACTTGTCCCTCTTCATGACAAGTTTAGACACCCTTGTGGAACTACAAACAGTCAAGGTTTTGTGGGTTATTAAAAGTGGAATCAACAAAACAGCTGCTCAAGTCTTGAACTGCTCAAACACCACAATGAAGGCAGGAATGGCATTTAAGTAAGTCTTCCCTGCAGTACCTGCAGAGAGCCAAATTACTTTTCCACCACCACCACCTTCTCCTGAAGGGATTATTTCCTTCTTAGCCTGACTCTTTGCAGTAATTACATGAACAAAGCTCACAGCATGCAGTTACCACC